TGATTAGCCAATGGGAAGGGTAGCGGTCGTACGCCAATTACCATGTTTCTCTTTTATTAGATAGGAGGATTAGTGGCCCAGTGCATGAATTTATGCACAGGTGGGGTCCAGCTGAATCAGGGCCGGGCCAGCTGGGGGGAGGGGCTGAGGGCAATTGGCCAGCAGGTCCTGCCCCTGAAGGGGGTGGGGGCCAATCAGGGGCCAGAGGCCTAGGGGAGGGGCTATGAGTGATTGGCCACTGGCCCTGCCCCTAATCAGAGTGGGGGAGCCAATTGGGGATGGAGCTGACTAGGGGGAGGGGCCATGGACTGATTGCAGTCGGTGGGCCCATCAGGAATGGGGCTAGCCCAGGGGAGGAGTTGCAGGCGGTTGGCCAGTGGCCCTGCCCCTGATAGGGGTAGGGGGGTTAATCTGGGGTGGGGCTGGGCAGGAGGAGGGGCTGCAGGAGGTTAACCATCCAGCTCCACCCCCTATTGGGGTGGTGGGGGCCCATCAGGGGCGGGGCTGGCCAGGGGAAGGGCCTACAGGAGGTTGGCCTGCCACCCTTCCCTCAATTGGGGTGGGAAAGGCTGATCAGGGGCAGGGATGGCCAGGGGGAGGGGCTGTGGGAGGTTGGCTGCCAGCCCCAACCCTGGATCGGGCTAGTTTGCTGACAGCAGTGGGCGTCATAGTGACTGGTCGTTCTGGTCGTTATGGCGTTCCGGTCGCTGGCTTTTTTTATGTGTGTGTGTGTGTGCATGTGTGTGTGTGTGTGTGTGTGTGTGTATGGCTAGAATAAGACTGGATTCAACATCAGCTCTAGTTCTATTTTTCATTTTCATAGATATAAGCACTAATAAACCTTAGTCACATAAAGATGCTGATGAGAATAAAAGAAATTTTGTTATAGAAAGTTCATTTAATTATTTAAACATCTTCCAAGTTACATACCTAAAATCACCAGCTGATCTAGCACCAAAAATGTTTTTAATGACATGGCATCTGCAACTGTACCAGGTCCTCCTTCAATTTACTGAGAGCAAAACCTGGAAACCATCTGACTTACAGGAGGATGTTTTACCAGTTCAGAGTCACACTTCCTCACTTCCTCAGTGGTTTATCGGGGGTGACTGTTAATTTTAACTTATTCTTTCATTCATTTATAAGTACCTTAACTAACCCACTATACTAAAAAGAGTTACAAAAATAAAACAAACTGTGAATTTCTATATATATTTTGCCAATACCGCATTTTTGAAATTCACTTACCTTATGTACTTCAAGTACATTTTTTTATTTTTTAAATGCTTTTTTTGTTGTTGTTTTAAATCCTCACATTGATTTTTTTTATAGAGAGAGAGAAACATTGATGTGAGAGACGTACTGACTGGTTGCCTCCTGCACCTGCCCTGCAACATGCCCTTGACTGAATCGAACCTGAGACCCTGCAGTCTGCAGACCAGTGCTCTATCCACTGAGCCAAACCTTAAGAGTTGTAGATTTATCTGATTCAACTTATATTTTAAAATAACAAAAACAAATTAAGAGGCCCAGCCTGCATGGCTCAGTGGTTGAGCGCTGACATGAAATATATATATATATATACATATAATATTTTTTTATTGATTTTAGAGAGGGAGGGAGACTTGGAAGTCATGGTACCACCATTCGAGCCCACTTTTTAAAACATTTTTGGTTGAAATACTTTTTAAATTATAGAAAAGTTGTAAGATGAGCACAAAGTACTTCAGTAGACCCTTTTTTTCAGACTCACCAGTTTTGAACATTTTTTCATATTTGTGTTATCATTTGTGTGTATTTATCTTTTTGCTTTTTAACACGTTAGTGTCTATTTCTTAAGAACTAGGATTTTTCTCTCATGTAACCATAGTATATTTATCAAATTGAGGAAACTAAAC